ATCTCCGGGCCCTTAAACGTCACTGCACCTCAAACAGGAATGCCACTGTCAAGGAAATAACAGAATGGGCTCAGGAATACTTCCAGAAAGCATTGTCAGTGAACACAATCCACCGTGCCATCCGCCGTTGCCAGCTGAAACTCTACAGTGCAAAGAGGAAGCCATTTCTAAGCAAGCTTCACAAGCTCAGACGTTTGCACTGGGCCAGGGGTCATTTAAAATGGAGTGTGGCAAAATGGAAGACTGTTCTGTGGTCAGATGAGTCACGATTTGAAGTTCTGTATGGAACACTGAGACGCCATGTCATCCGGACCAGAGAGGGCAAGGATAGCCCAAGTTGATATCAATGCTCCGTTCAGAAGCTTGCATCACTGATGGTATGGGGTTGCATGAGTGCTTGTGGCATGGGCAGCTTGCATGTCTGGAAAGGCACCATTAATGCAGAGAACTATGTTCAGGTTCTAGAACAACATATGCTCCCATCTAGACGTCATCTCTTTCAGGGAAGACCCTGCATTTTTCAACACGATAATGCCAGACCACATTCTGCAGCAATCACAACATCATGGCTACGTAGGAGAAGGACTGAAATGGCCAGCCTGCAGTCCAGACCTTTCACCTATAGAGAACATTTGGCGCATCATAAAGAGGAAGGTGCGACAAAGAAGGCCCAAGACGATTGAACAGTGAGGCCTGTATTAGACATGAATGGGAGAGCATTCCTATTTCTAAACTTGAGAAACTGGTCTCTGTCCCCAGACGTCTGTTGTGTGTTGTAAGAAGAAGGGGGGATGCCACACAGTGGGAAAAATGGACTTGTCCCAACTTTTTTGGGATTTGTTGATGCCATGAAATTTGGAAACAGATTTTTCCCTTAAAATGATACATTCTTTCAGTTTAAACTTTTGATCTGTGATTTGTGTTTTATTCTGAATAAAATATTAAATGTTGGCACCTCCACATCATTGCATTCAGTTTTTATTCACAATTTGTTTAGTGTCCCAACTTTTTTGGAATCCTGTATGTAGAAAAATCTAAAAAAGTTACATCTGGTCCTCTGAACATTCAAAAAACAAAAAGCAAATCAACAACAAAAAAAATCTGGAAACGTTTCGTCTCTCATCCGAAAGACTTCCTCAGTCTGAGGTGCTGTATTCAGCTCAGTCTTATAAATAGCACCTTCTCCGTGGATCAACCAGTTTTGCTGATGACAACCAAAACCAGCTGCTCATATGATCAAGAAGGACCATCAGCCTAACAATGGATCATTAGCACACTCATGGCTGCTTACTATTCAGAGGGCTGAGTGATACTAGCAATCACAGCATTGTAAGAGGGGGACAGTTGAACCCGGAGGCCTCCACCCCTGTTTAATGATGGACGATTTCTTTTCACAAAGATGGCCTCCTTTACTCCTCTCTCAAACCATCGTTCCTCTCTGTCCAGGATGTGAACATCTTCATCCCTGAACAAGTGACAGCTGGCCTGGAGATGAGTGCAGACTGCCGGGTCCTGGCCTGATGGTGTTGCTCTTCTGTGCTGGGCCATCCTTTTGGCCAGTGGCTGTTTAGTTTCCCCGATGTAAGACTGATCACAGCCCTCCTGACACTGAACAGCATACACAACATTACTCTGTTTGTGCCGGGGGACTGGATCTTTGGGATGAACCAGTCTTTGCCATAATGTATTTTGGCGTTAAAAAGCCACTGAGATGTTGTGTTTAGAAAATAAACGTCTCAGTTTCTCTGATACTCCGGCAACATACGGAATGACCACTGGTCTGGGTTTCTCCTTTTCACCTGATGGCTGACTGGAGTCCTGTTTGGGTTTCGTCTATGCTTTCAGGAAGGCCCAGTTAGGATATCCACATTGCTCTAGAGTCTGTCTTGTGTGGGATTTCTCCTTCTGCCTGGCTCCTGAGCTAGTGGGGACACTGTCTGCTCTGTAGTACAGAGTCCTGATGACTCCTAACTTGTGCTCCAAAGGGTGATGGGAGTCAAACTGCAAATACTGGTCTGTGTGGGTGGGTTTGCGGTACACCTCAGTTTGCAAATGTCCTCTATCAGAGACTGAGACCTCACAGTCCAAGAAAGCCAACCTGCCATTTTTTACATCTTCTCGTGTGAACTTGATGTATTTATCCACAGAGTTGATGTGGTCAGTAAAATGTTGGACTTCCTGAGATTTAATTTTAACCCAGGTGTCTTCAACATACCTGAACCAATGACTTGGTGGTGTCCCTGAAAAGGACGTCAAGGCTCTCTTTTCTACCTCCTCCATGTACAGGTTGGCAACAATAGGAGAAACTGGAGACCCCATAGCACACCCATGTTTCTGCCTATAATATTGCTCCCCATATGTGAAGTAGGTTGATTGCAGGCACAGTTTCAAGAGTGTTCAACTGTCCCCCTCTTACAATGCTGTTATTGCTAGTATCACTCAGCCCCCTGTGAATAGTAAACAGCGATCAGTGTGCTAATGATTCATGTTAGTTAGGAGGAGACGTTTGCCCTTGAAAAGAGCGAGTGTTGAATAATGATGAGATGGTGGGTGTTCTTCTGAGGGATCTCTTCCCAGACCTGGATTAGAGCATCAATTAGCTCCTGAACAGAAATACAAAAACTCGTGTCGCTCAGGTATGAATGGAACCATTCTAACGCTGCACCAGTAATCCCAACCTAGTGTTCTAGCCAGGATAAAAGGATACTGTGATCCACAGTATCAAATGCAGTGGTAAAGTTAAGGAGTACCAAGATTACAGACTGACCAGAGTCATTTGCTAGAAGAATACCATTGCAGACCCTAAGACAGTTTCGGTGCTGTGTAATTTCTTAAAGCCAGACTGAAAGATCTCAAGAATAGAATTTCCGCTCAAGAACTCGTTTAATTGAGTGAAAACTATTTTCTCCAGGATCTTAGAAAGAAAAGGAAGTTTGGAGATGGGTCTGACGTTTGAGCAGGTTGAAGGGTCAAGTCCAGTTTTTTTTTTTTTTTTTTAAAGGAGTTACCACTGCATGTTTAAAAGCATCACAAACCACACATGTAGCCATACTGCTGTTTATAATGTCAACAACAGTGGGTCCAATGGAGGGTAGGACTTGTTTAAAAAAACGATTCAGGGATGGGGTCAGCAGGGGAACCTGAGGGTTTCATATGACCAATGATGTCATTTAGAAATGAGAGGGAAATGGGTTTGGTTAAATACTGATGTGGAGGGGACAAAGACAGAGGGGTCAGCTGTGGTGTGAGGAATCAGTGACCTGACTGACTCAACCTTTTTAACAAAGAAACTGGCAAAGTCGTCACACGTAACTGCAGAGACCTCCCTGTTGGCAGAGTGAGGCACGGTTAAAATGGAGTTAATGGTGTTGAAAAGAACGCGGGCATTGTGGCTGTTTGAGGCGATGATTTGGGAGAATATTTGTTTTTTTCTGATTTAACAGTGGCCTGGTAGTCTTTGTAACATGTTTTTAGCATGATAAAAGAAATGTGAAGTTTGTCCTTCTTCCATTTACGTTCGGCTTTCCTGCACTGACGGTTGGCTGTGCGAGTGAAAGTACCCTCATGGAGTCTGTTTCTGACAGTTTGAGTGGAAACATGCACATTAGTGGCCTGCTGGAGGTCATTTTCTAGGGCCCTGACAGTGGACCTCCTGATCCTCCTTGCACAAAGGACGAGGAAGCGGTCCTGCTGCTGGGTTGAAGCCCTCCTACGGCCTCCTCCATGTCTCCTGGTGTACTGGCCTGTCCCCTGGTACCTATTCCATGCTCTGGACACTGTGCTGAGAGACACAGCACATCTTCTTGCCACCGTTCACATTGATGTTCCATCTTGGATTAGTTGCACTACTTGAACATCTTCAGTGGGCTGTAAAAAAACTCCTCATGATGCCTCTGTGTAACAACACTGACAAAATGAAAAATGACTAAAAGTTCAACCAGAAAGGATGAGAACAGAGAAATGACCTGTGGTCACCACCTGCAGAATCACTCTTTTATAGAAGTTGTCTTGATCACTGCCTCTCATTCCACCTGATGTGTTCCACTTGTACAGCAGCAGGTGAAACTGATTCACAATAAGTGTTACTACCAAACAGCTGACATTGATTCCACAAAGGTGTGACTGATTTGGAGCTACATTGTTTTGTTTAGGTGTTCCCTTATTTTTTTTTAGCTGTGTGTGTGTGTATACACACACACACACATATAAATATATATATATATA